TCATAAAACATGCAAGATGGTCTTAAAATGTTCTAGTCATATGTTACCAACCATTTATGTCAGCCTTGAACGAACTTAAACTTGATCCTCATAGCGCATCTGATTTTTAGATCAGTGGTATTCCAATGCACATACCAGAAAGAGAACCTTGCAGAATGCAAGGCCTGGCAACACGAGACAAATTCACTTACGGGATGGACCTATAAAGTCAGAAAAATGTCCGCCAGAATCACTCTGGTGTTAGCATTACTCAAGTTAAGCCTCCTTTCCTCTCGCTTAATCCTCAAGCCACTAGAATAGCTGCGAGATGAAAACCAGCCGAGATTGAGGTCACATTTATATTTGATACGTGAACTGAATGTCAACACATGCCATTCTATCCATCCAGATACGAGAAGTTCGTATCACTAATGTAAAGAATGTTAAAAAGAAAAAAGTTACTGCCCGTGGTGGATTTCCTGTGAATGTAAATAGCATCAAGCTGACTCTTTTATTTTGGAATAGCAGGATAGTCTGTTCTAATTCAGAAATCTAACTTCACACTTAACTCAGTGTTAGAATCTTTTAAAGACTAAATCAAAGTGACTAATGAGACTTGTGTTGCATAGTCACTAAAATCACGTGTTTCGGCTCAGATATACAACATGGGCTCCAAAAGAAGATAAACCTTAGGAAATAAGTTAAAAATAGTAAAACTTCAAAGAAAAATTACTTGAGAAAATCATTTCCTAGTATTCTGAAGTGGTCTCTTTTGGAGAGAAAAGTTGCACCTTTACTAAATTGTTTTCTTTATACATAGTAATCATTAGATTAAAATACCCTTTTCTTTAGATGTGACACTTTGGTACTAACTGAATAATTAAGTGAAAGCTGAATATAATAAGTGAAAACTGATTAATTTATCCAAAGGTAAGACTCTTGAGTTTAGATTGGAATTCTGTATATGTACAATATGTATGTATACATGTGGGTTTGTGTCTTCTGTCTTACTGACATAGTCTGTAGTCATGTATACTTTCTATAATCGTTCAACGATAAACACAAAATGCACCTGTTATACAACATGAAAATTCTAGCCATTTGAAGAGTGCTGTTTTGTAGATTAATAGTAAAACTTTAAATAATTCAACAAAGTCAGTACCATTAATAGTAATAAAGCATGCACATTTATTGCAATATTATAAGATTTCTTTAAATTAGTTTCATAGATTTTAGTCTTTAAAGTTCTCTTCACACAATATACACACCCGACCTATATGCCTCTGCATACACACATACACACCATAATGGGTAATGTGAAGACATACTACCTAACACACCACACACGCACAACTTACTCATAATAGACTACCATATGGTATTTATTTAGGAAAGATTCTAATGTGATGGTTGCCAATAAGCACCCATATCTTACTTTTTATGCTAAGCAAATAATCCAAGAAACTGGATTATTTAAAAAATGTGACGTTATGAATCTAGGAATAAAAACGTTGCATCAGTATCGAAGGGAAACTCATTAACAACCTGCGATATGCAGATGATACAACTTGGCCTGTTGAAGGTAAAGAGGACCTGAAGTTATTACTTATGAAGATCAAAGATGACTGCCTTCAGTATGGATTTCAGGTCACTATAAAGAAAATAAAAATCCTCATAACAGAGCCAATAAGCAACAGCACAATAAATGGAGAAAAGATTGACGTTCTCAAAGATTTCATCTTACCAGCATCCACAACCAATGCCTATCAAAACTGCAGTCAGGAAATAATCTCGCATTGGGAAACTCTGCAAAAGGTCTCTTGGAAGCGCTAAAAGGTGAAGATATCACTTTGAAGATTAAACTCCGCCTAACCACGGCAATGGTGTGGTTTTTTCAATGGCCTCCTATGCATGTGAAAAGTGAATCCTGAGTAAGGATGAGTGAAGATTCATGCCTTTGACTCCTGGGGTTGGCAAGGATGTTGGCTATACCACAGACTCCAGATTAAAACCAAATCAGTGTTAGAAGCACAGCCAGAACACTCCTGAGAACCGAGGATGCGTGAGACTCCGTCTCAGATATCTTGGACATCTGATCAGGAGAGCCCAGTCCTTGCAGAAGGAATCACGCTTGGAAAATGAGATGGTCAAGTAGGAAGTGGAAGCCCTTCAATAGGATGGACTGACCCTGGCACAGCAATGAGTTCAAACACAGGACTATTGTGAGGATGGCACGGGACCAGGAAGT